CAAAAAAAAACAATTGAAATCCATGTGATGCGTCTCGAATGTTATCTGTGAATCCTGGGCCACATTACCGCCCTCCAGGGTGAGCATGCTTCCTCGACTGCGAGAACATACGATTTTGCAAGTGCCAGACGATGAGGCGCGAGGACAAACATTGCCTGCGAAGCCAAAACACCACATGGAATTCCACATGTACAGGCTAGCACGTTGCCAATGACGTACTGGCCAAATGTCCGCCTTCCTGGGTACGCATGCTCCCGCAACTCCGAAAACATGCGGTTTGATATTGCCAGGCGATGAGGCGCGAGGACAAACCATGTCTATGACGCAACAAAGCGATTTGAATTCCACATGGGTTGGCTAGAATGTGACCAACGACGTCTTGGCCACATTTCCGTTTTCCTGGGGGCGCGAGTGTTCCCATGCGTCTTGTGCGGGAAGCGCTTACTGTTCTTCTTTTGCGAGAAGAAGCAAGATTTCCAGGACGATGTTCTGAAGCTCAAAAAAAGATTTCGGACATATATGCAAAACTACCCTGTGGCGTGCCCAACCCATGTGCATCAAGTGGCAAGCGGAATTGGCCCAAACTTGCCATGGCAATGACAGTGCAGGCGCCGTTCTATGCTGTGCAATCTACATGGGATGCGGTCACGTGGCACGTTCACAGGACAACAACATAAGAACGAGGAGCGAGCGCCCAGGCTTGAGGACATGATGGGGGCGGGAACGAAGGGCAGGAAAAGGACGCGTGGGGGGCCGGCCTGTCAGCGCGGCAGCAGCAGAGGGAAGGTGGCAGGGAAAAGGACGACGACGAAAGTGACGGGAGGAGACCGACAAGTGTTGCCGTTTGTCGGTAGTGCGCTAGAGATCCAGCGTTGCCTGCGCCATGTCGCCGCGGCGCTCGACTAAATAATCAAAACTGCCTATACTTAGTGCAAGAAGCGAGCGAAACATAGCTCGCCCGCCAGCTTCCCTGCTTCCCTCCCGCACTCTTCAGTGCGGGAGCTAAACGCTCGGAGGCGCGCCGCTAGGTCTGCGGGCGGTCCGCGACGGCGCCCCGCTGGATCCCCCTGCAGCCCTCGAACGTGGTGACAGTTTCGACCATCGCAGCCCCCGAGGGATGGCGAGGTCTGATCTGAGTCTGGGTGGTGCCTCACTCCACTGGACCCCCCAGCAGCCCCCGAAAGTGGCGGCCGTTTCGCAGATCGCAGCCTCCCAGGAGTGGCGAAGTCAAATATGAGTCTGGGTGCTGCCTCACTCCGCTGAACCCCCGAACAGCCCTCAAATGGTACTAATTTCGCAGATCGCAGCCCCCAACAATGGCGGGTTCCAACATGAGTCTGGGTGGTGCGTCACTCCGCTGGACCCCCCAGCAGCCCTCGAAACCGGCAACGGTTTCGCACATCGCAGCCCCCCAAAAGGATGGCGAGGTCTAATCTGAGTCTGGGTGGTGCCTCACTCCGCTGGACCCCCCAGCAGACCTCGAAAGTGGCGACAGTTTTGCAAATCGCAGCCCCCAAGGGATGGCGAGGTCTAATCTGAGTTTGGGTGGTGCCTCACTCCGCTGAACCCCCAGCAGCCCTCAAAAGGGGAACAGTTTTGCATATTTCAGCCCCCCAGGAATGGCGAGGTCTAATCTGAGTCTGCGGCGGGTACCCACTATGAGGGTCCCCTTAGCAAGCCCGAAAAAAGGCGATCGTTTCGCAGGCCCCTCCCCCCACGGAATGGCGAGATCTAATCTGAATCTGCGGCGGGTGCCCACTAGTGGTCTCCCCAGCAGCCTCCGAAAGTGTCGGCCGTTTCGCACATCGCAGACCCCGAGGGATGGCGAGGTCTAATCTGATTCTGCGGCAGATCCCCCCGACAAACCTCGAAAATGGCGACCGTCTCGCACACCGCAGCCCATCAGGGAAGGCGAGGTCTAATCTGAGTCCGCGGCGGGTACCCACTCCGCTGAATCCCCCAGCAGCCCTCGAAAGTGGCGACAGTTTCGCACATCGCAGCCCTCCCAGAAGGATGGCGAGGTCTAATCCGAGTCCGCGGCGGGTGCCCACTGTGCTGGTCCACCCAGCAGCCTTCGAAAGTGGCGTCAGTTTCGCACATCGCAGCCCTCCCCAAAAGACGGCGAGGTCCGACCTTAGTCCGCGGCGGGTGCCCACTGTGCTGGTCCACCCAGCAGCCTTCGAAAGTGGCGTCAGTTTCGCACATCGCAGCCCTCCCCAAAGGATGGCGAGGTCTGACCTTAGTCCGCGGCGGGTACCCACTATGCTGGTCCACCCAGCAGCCTTCGAAAGTGGCCACAGATTCGCAGATCGCAGCCCTCCCCAAAGGATGGCGAGGTCTAATCTGAGTCCGCGGCGGGTACTCACTATGCTGGTCTCCCCAGCAGCCTTCGAGATTGGCGACAATTTCGCAGATCGCAGCTCCCAAGGCATGCCAAATTCACACTCCGCAGGCCCCATAGGCAAGCCACCAGGCGCACAGGAGAAGAGAGGAGAAGTGAGGCGGGGAGGAGGAAGGAGGAGAGACTTGGAGACCGCAGTGCTAAATTCCAAGCGAGAACCCAACGCAAGATGGTTGAAAAAAATAAACAGAAGGCCTGTCACCAGTCTGTAGCCGGAGGACCCCTTATTGGATCTCAATTGGGTTTCAATTGCTCCTTTTGGATACCACAAGGAAAACAATAGGACTCCAATGGGGTTATAGTATGACTCAAAGAGGACAGGTTCTCGTTAGGTGACATATGGGTCCTGATGGGACCCAAAAAGAATGCCCGTATGGATCGAAACATGTTCCGATTGGATTGCACTGCGATATCCTTCGTGTTCGCCGATATGATTCCGATGGAATTCCAAGAGAACGGGTTCCTACTAGTGCTTTCGAATGAGAACCCAGAAAGTTCCCACATATTTCCATATAGTACCCCACTGCGTTTCCCGCAGCATTCCAGTAGGAAGGTTCCTCGATTGTAATCCAATGGGGTCTCCAATCGGTTTCCATTAGGAAGGGACCCAAACGGTTTCAATAGGAAGCATCCCTATCGGATTCCAATAGGACGCTCGTGGGCCCCATAGCGAGACATCTCGTTGGATCACAATGTGATTCATCTGTTGCAAAATAGGATCCCAGTGGGAAGGGTGCCGATATGATTGCAATAGAACTCCTGTCGGATCCCGTTAGGAAGCGGACACTTCACATATTATTGCTGTGCCTCCCTTACGTGGACCCACGGAGATTTAGAAGATTACAGAACATGTGTCGCTCATACGCGTGTGATTGCCTGATTGTAAAGTGACCTTCCTGGTTGTAAGTTGCACTTCTGGGAAAACCCGTGCTGGTAGTAAAGTGCCCCGTCTGGTTGTAAAGTGGCCGTCCTGGCTGCAGTGTGACCCGCACGCGGGTGCGAGGGCCCGCGCCGATCGGCAAAGCAATAAACAGGACAACGACCACCACCCCAAGCACGTTTCGACATCAGGGGGTCGTCCCTGCAAAAGCCTGCAGCAACGCGGGGGGGGTGGGGACGCCCGCCCGACGAGCTTGCCCACGGGAGCAAGATCTGTTCCTGAGCATACAGGTTGGCGCAAGGCGTGCAGATCAACAGAACTGCTGTGCTACTTTCCTGGATGCACACTCCCACGATGGGGGATGCATCATGTCCGCACGCTTCGTGCATGCCTGTGTCCAGCATCTCCGCAGCAGGACTTCGAAGCAGGATTACGCAATGCCTCTAACGCGTATCTATGTCCACAGTGCCGCCTGGGTGGCCGACGTAGCGCCTCGTTGCGTTGGAATCTGCAGGCCGCCCCGCTACGAGGGAGGATTGGGTGGTGGGTGGGGAACTACGTAATCGGAGGAATGTGTAGGCAGAAAAAGAAAGAGAGAGAGAGAGAGAACGAGAACTATATATATACATATATATATATTCATATATGTATAGAGAGAGAAGGGAGGAGGAGACGGGAGGGCGGGGTAGAGGGGGAAGGGGAAGGGGGGCCAGGAGGGGGGTAAAGCAGGAGGCCTGCTCCCTCGCAGTGGATGGACGCAGGCAGGGAGGAGGCCCTAGGCACCCAGGAAGGGCAAGTAATCAAGAGAGCACCCTGGAGGGGCCGAAGTAGCTGAGAGTAATGTGGGGGCACATGGTGGGTGCACGCAGCGTGGGTTGGGCGAACCCCCCCCCCCTCCACTGACGCCCGAACACCGTGGGATACGAGCTCCGTCGAGTAGGGTCAGGAACGGCCCTGAACTCCGACGACAAAAAAAACAGCAAGATTCGGGGATGGACAGACCCCCCTTTAGTAAAACGTGGTTTAGTGAAAACGACCCGGGGCCCAAACCTGGCGGGCGCAAGCCTGGAAAATAACGGCCACGGCGCCTTCTCGAGAACCGAAAACGGACAATTCACTAATCGACGTGCCACTGTTGGGGGTTCTGTCCACCCCCGAAAGACCGCGAGAAATCACGGGTTAAGCCCCAGACCCCATCCTTCTGCTGCATGCTTCGAGCCAGCTCGATCCGTGATGGCCCCGGGGCCCGACGCCGGGCGCAGGCGCCCGGCGCGAAAACATCGCGGCGCCCAGAACTCACGGCCGGCGGCGAGCAAGGGGAGGAAATGAGAAGGGGAAGGCCTTCTCTAGGGGGCCAGATGCGAACCCTACCCCTACCCCCCACGATTTCTGAGGGGGAGGGTGGGGTTCACTTCGTTCCATCCCCCTCAGAAATCGTGGGGGGTAGGGGTAGGGTTCGCATCTGGCCCCCTATTCTCAGAAGCAGTTCGGCCTCCTGAGAAGTCGTCTGCCTGCGGGGAAGGCTTCGGGAACTTCCCAGAGGGCCCGGGGGGCTTCCGGGCCTTCTGAGAAGGCCTCCTCCTGCTCACTGCCCCCCCAGGCTCGCCGCCGACACGGGGGTTGGACCAGTACCTCGCGGCATCCAGCGGGAGCCCTCACCGCGGAGGAAGCAGGCGGCAGGCCCTCGGCGAGCGGCGGGGGGGTGGGAGGGCGGCGCACTCTGCGAGCTCGCGGCGGGAGGTCTGCACGGAGTCGGTACCTGCGCAGGGAGAGCGTGCGAGAGGATGGAGACGGTGGCGCGTGATGTCGAACAACCATTTTTACATATTTATTCTCATACGCACCTCTCCGAGGGAGTAGAGCTCAGAGGCGATTCATGCCCACGTCGTCCGCGATTCTTCTGGCCGTTTCGCTCGGGACATCCTCGAATTCTGAAAATCGGTGGCACCCCTCACGCAGATCGTGACGTCAGGGTCCAAAAACACATTGGAACTTCAACATTTTAACATAAAAACCTTCAAAAACACATGGTAATTTCAATAATTTTGACCCCGATTCTCAGAGAATGGCGGTTTCGCCTGAGACATCCTCCCAAAATCGAGCCCCAGACCCCTCCTCGGAGCCTCCTGGGGGCCTCCTGGAACCTCCTGGGGCCTCCTGGGGCTTTCTGGACCTTCTGGTACCTCAGACCCCGCCTCGGAGCCTCCTGGAGTTCTCCTGGGCCTGCTGAGGCCGCCTGGGGCCTCCTGGGGCCTCCTGGGGCTTCAGAACTACATGCACACACAGAGACACAAATCACGCCCAACACATCACACGCTAGACAAACATAACATACACACACACACACGACAACACACAAAAAGCACGCACCACACAAAGCACACATCACACACACACACACACTCACAATCCTGGGGCCTCCTGGAGCCTCTTCTGGTATCCAAGTCGGGCCTCCTGAGGCTTCCTGGGGGGCCCTGGTACACACATCGCAAGGTGTGGCAACCCCACTTGCGCTCGAGTGCGACTTCGCTGTTGCATGTCACTCCTGCTTCAAACGCCCCTTCAGCTTGTTGTATGAGCCTGGGCACACACGTGCCACTTGTGTATATATATATATATATATAAGATAATTTTGAAAAGAAAATCGAATCAAGGATCCTCCCATTCGTTGCGGGCACAGGTGGGGCAGAGGCTGCCGCGGCGGCGAGAGCCACTCCAGAGATACAGCCAAGAGGAGCTCTGGAAAGGAGGAGGAAAGGAGGAGGAGGAGGAAAGGAGGAGGAAAGGAGGAGGAAAGGAGGAGGAAAGGAGGAGGAAAGGAGGAGGAAAGGAGGAGGAAAGGAGGAGGAGGAGGAGGAGGAGGAGGAGGAGGAAAGGAGGAGGAGGAAAAGAGGAGGAAAGGAGGAGGAGGAGGAGGAGGAGCTCCGAGCCTTGCCCCGCCAAGAGGCGGGTCGCACAAGCCCGCGTGCCAGGCCGTGGCGCCTGGCAGGCGGGCCCACCCCCTGCGGCTCCGCCCCGAACGGAGCTGGAGAAAAACAAGAAGGTGACCTCTTTTTTGACTACCGACCAGACCACCCAAACCCAACCCGAAGACCCGAATTTGACCCGAATTTCGGGTTGGGGGGGGTACGGGTTCCATGTGTTTTTTCAATGTTCCCCCACCCCCCCCGACTGGAAATGGAGGGCAATTTGACGCCTTCGGGTTGGGTTGGGGTGGTTTGGTAGGCGGTGATTTCTGGTTCGGCGTTTCGACACTGGGCGGAAGGGGGGGGAAGCGAAACCTGGGCGAGGGTTGCTAAAACCGCGGCTGCTAAAACGGCCCTCCCGGAAAGGGAAAAAGCAGCTTCCCGAAGGAGGCGCGGCACGCGAAACAGTCGACGGGCTTCTTCCCGGAAGGACGAAGACAACTTCCCGGAAGTCGATTTTAGCAGCCACGGATTTAGCAGCCCTTGCCCGGCTTCCGAAAGGGGGGGGGTCTGGCTCCGGACCTCTGCTTAGTGCGACTGTTTGCAGCAGAGCGTCCTATGTGGGAGGCTCCACCTGCTCTAAACAGGCGCCCAAAAAGCAGCCAAGATCTACTCCATGGGGGGGGGGAAGGGGGTGCGAGGGCCCGCGCCGATCGGCAAAACAATGAACAAGGAAACTATCACCAATCAGACCAATGTTCGGCGGCGAACCCAGGGAGGAAGGCAGAGGATGCGAGGCTTCTCAGAAGGCGGCGGGGCGTCTCAAAGCCCCCGCCGCCTTCTGAGAGAAGTCATCTGTGCATTCGGGGAGGGCTTGGAAAGCTGCTCGAAAGGCTGGTGCATGATGTCGAAGATGAACCTCGTTTTACCGATCCCTATCCCCAACGGCGTAGCCGGGGCCCGACTGGCCGACTTACCAATCTAGGTGGGAATGGATACCTGCATCGTCGGGTTTAGCGGGGCCCATCAGCACATGGGTGGGTGGGACGGTGGGGCTGGGATACCATGGCCGAGCGGGGATTGGGATGACTTAGACGAGGCTGATAAGGCCCTCCCAACCAACAGCAGAAGTGACATCGGCACGACACCACCGATAGGAACTGCAAGTGCTGCTCTCAGACTACCAGCCACCTGAGTAGTCGTCCTACTGGGAGGATGGTTGAGCTCTATAGTTAGAACGAAGTGTCGGCGCATGATGTCGAAGACCCTCCCTTACAGCAGCAGAAGTGAAGACGGCACGTTACAGCTAGGAACTGCAAGTGTTACCCTTAGACGACAGTCACCTGACTTGTCGACCTACCTGGAGACTGGTTGAGCACCTAAGACCGTACCCTCCCTCCAGTGTCTCTCCCCCTGTTGGACTCAATCCGCCACTGAGCCTGCAGGATAGCGGAGTGTTCGAATGCATATGATCAGCGTCGTTAGACCTAACCCAGTCCCCGCTGGGAAACCTTTGGCCCCGCTGTCCAACCTGCCACACAAGCGAGGATGTATGTCCTCTCTGTCGGGTTCGGGGGCGCCCTTCCCCACCTGGGAGATAGGCTGTTGGCGCTGTGGTGCCTGAGCACAATGTGGACGAGGACAGAAGCTGGGGGGGACCGAAAAATACCGCCACCGCTGCTCCCCGGCCTACTCCAGGCGCGCGTTCCGGCCAGGGTTTCGAAGCGAGTCCAGCCGTGGCGACGAGGGAAGGGTAGCGGCATCGTCATATTCCCCTCCGCAGCGAAGCTACGGTGCAGGTGCTGACTGTCTGGCAGGCGCCCCCCCTTTCTGGCGCAAGCGAACCCACACCCACGAGCTCGCCCTCAACACTCCGACGCTCTTCAGAATGACGGCCAAACGAATGTCCCAAGGATGACCTCGCCATCGCTCGGACGTCCATTTCCCGTGCATGTTTCGGTTTCGTGCTTGTTGTTTTCGCTCGATGGTCCAGGATCGTCCTCAATGGTTCTCGCCGCGAAAAAATGCACACGTCCGAGCGATGCCAGGTGACCGCAGGACGCCCCAGGACTACAAAGAAGACAGCCAGATGGCCCTCCAAAGAAAAGCCCCAACAGTTCCCCGAGAATTCCCCAACGGATCCAGGAACGCTCCAAGGGGCGCCCAGAGAGGCCTCCGACGAGGCCCACGGAGGCCCAAAGCAGAGGAAAGCCAGCGAGGAGCTCGGATGCCTTTTGCTTCCAGGACTTGTCGGCTGAAGATGCCTCGTGAAAACGTCAGAGAGCCTCACGAAGCCTCCGAGGCATCCTGAGAAGGCCCCGGGTTGGAGGTGGCCAGAGGGTGTGAACTAGTTGGACCCAGAAAAACAGACAGGAGCGGGAGAAGGAAGGATTGTGCTGGATTTTGCTGATTAGGTCTTGCAAAGCAAATGGGTGGCACTACGCGAGACGGCTTACCCGCTAGGAGTGTAGACTTACATCGAGATGAATGTGAAGCGTGAAGCAGCAAGTTGGCTAGCAAGCTTGCGGACGAGAAGCCTGGAACTGCACTCGATGGCAGCGCACGACACCTCCTACACATTCGGCGCGCAAGTGCAGACACGGCACCGAACTGCGGCGGGTCTTCGCTCGACCTGCTCCCCGCTGTGCCGGCACGGCGGGGGGAGCGCAGCGGCTAGACATGAGATTCTTGACTAGTCTTCGTGACAGGAAGGGGGGGACCATGCTCAGGTGCGCGCGGAGCGCGTCTGTGCGGAATGTCGTCTCATGCTTCAGGCTGGCTCCACCCAGCGCTCCTGATGGATAGAGTCGGGCCTGAGACAGAATCAAATCCTTCAAGAACGTGAGACCCTCCGCTGGCCAAAGCACACGGAACATCCGAGGTAACCCTCCCCAGGATGCACAACAACATCCAACACTTACGAAGAACAATGGGGCACCCTCCCCGAACCGACCTCGATCTGATGCCTCGGTCCGACCGTGCGTATTGCTTGACTTCGGCAGGGGGCAGCGGCGCGATCCAGATGTACCCGCGCCAGCCCGGGCAGCGCAGCTCAAGGCACGCAGGCTGCGCGATGCGTGCACGTCCAGCTTCTCGTGCGAGGGGGAAGAAACCTGGCCAAACCAATGGCTTCTTCTGGCTCCGCTGACATGCTCACCGACGGGACCCAGCCAGTGACCAATCACTGAACGCAGTCCGAATGGGCAAGATCCGAGAACTGCACGTTCGAAGAAGTCCGTCACCCGGTACGTGGCCAAGTTCAGCTGGTTCTGTGCTGCTACGATGTTACAGAATAATACGAGCATGCATTCACTCCGCCAGCCCCCACTTGAGCAGGACGCGGGACACGTGCTCAAAGCTGTGACGGGGGCCTCCCAGAACTCAGAGTAAGTTCTGGACGCGTTCTCCAGTATTCCAGCCTGGGCTGGCATTCCCGTGATGAGGGGGCGATGAGGATCGCTGGGACCACGGGAAGGCGTTCAATAGCGGGCGTCGGGTCCAAAGTGGGCCAAATGTTCTTCCGCATCCAGGAGTGCCATTCCTGACACGAGCTCTGCGCGGCCGCCAGGCCCACGAGCTGTTGACACCGAGTGCAGGTCTGGGGTAGACCCTCCATCTACACCCTTTTAGCTTGTGTAAATTGTTGAAACAAAGGACCACAACGCTGAGGCGAGATCCCAAATCTCACCAGCCCTCTGGGCGTAGGTGGTTTAACAAAATGCGTCTTCTCTCTGCCGAAGCTCCCTCCTTCCCCTGCTCGGGGGAGGGATTTACCCCTCGCCATATACCCTCCCCTGGGCCTGGAAGGGGCGCCCCGCGAGGGGTTAGAACGCCCAAGATGGCCCAAGCTGGCCTCAAAAGGGCGTCTGAGAGCGCAAGATGGCCTCCAAGATGGCTCAAGGTACCTCAAGATGGTTCAAGATGGCCTCCGATTCACATCTACGTAAGAGGCCTCAAGACGGTCCCAAGACGGTTTCAGGAGCCCTCCGAGGACTCCAAGGACACCTCCGAGAGGCCAAAATGGCATTACAAACTTGGAACATCAATTTGGCTTACTTTATCGACTTTTCGCTTCCGATGGGCTCTTGAGGCCTCAAAATGGCCCCACGACGGCCCAAGAAAGCCCCAAGAGACTCCAGAAAGCCCCAAGACAGTCCCAAGAGCGCCCAAGACCGCCCAAAGAGCGCCCCAAAAGGGCCTCAAGACGTCATTGTTGAGCCTCCCAGGAGGGGACCTGAATTTCCTACCCACCCCCCTCTTTTAGAGTAATGGGGGCCAAAATGGCCCCAAGAGGCCTCCAAGACCCCCCCCCACCGAGCTCAAAGAGGGTCCCAAGAAGGCCTCAAGAGAGTCCCATCGGAGTACCTGATGCCACTTTTTAAGACACATGTGCGCGGCACCGCGGTGAGATCCTCATGTTGCAAATGACCCCCACTCCAGCGGCGTAACCGTTGCAGCTGTCAAGCTTCAAGTTCATAAAATGGGGATGATGCCTCAGGCGAAACGCCCAGCCCACCCTACCGACACGTCAAAGGGGTGCGGCAGGGAGGACTTGTCGATCTGCAAGGAGACGGGACGGAGGAGGGGGAGGAGAAACGAGGAGGGAGGGAGGCGGCAGGATTGGGCAGCGGTGGCGGAGGAGAAGGAGTACGATGCCGACGACGACGACGACGACGACGACGACGACGAGGGAGGGGGAGAAGAAACAGCTCAAGACAAAGACGACGACGCCGACGACAAAGACAAAACGGCATAAACATCAACTTTCGGCGCTTCGCGCGGATTCCTTGGATCTGCGCTGGACCCCCTCCCTGGCGCGCGGAGCGCGCCAGAGGCGACGCCGGAGGCGCCAAATCCGCGCGGAGCGCCAAACTTATATGCTTATGGCGTTGTCTTATGTCGGGCGTGTCCCCCTACACGGGAATTTTCGACGGAAAATAAAAAATACCCTAAAAAATACCCCAAAAAGGTCAAACAATACTCAAAATATAGTTCCCAGATTATTTTTTTTATTATTTTTTGACCATTTTGGGGGTATTTCTTATGTTTCGTTGAGAATGCCCCTGTAGGGGGACAGGCCCGACTGAAGCGTTTTTGCTGTAATCCCTCAAGAGAGGGAGGAGGAGGCGAGCGACGAGCGAGGACACGGAAGGGGAGGCCGGAGGGCGGCAGGAGCGGCGCGGGGCGCCGAGGGAGGGGCGGGGGCACTGCGCGGGCCCGTGTCCCGCAGCGCCTGCGAGAGCTCCCGGCGGGCGAGCACCCACTTCGCCGTGCGCGGCCCGCACCACGCGCTGACCAGCTTCAGCGCACCTCGCGGGCAGACGCACCGCCGTTGGCGTAAATGAAGGGGCCCTGGGACACGCGAATGAAGACACACCACAAATGGCAGGATTCCCTGTATTTTCGTGTACGTTCTGGGTTTTTGCCTTCCCCCCCCCCCCCCTTCCCATACTTTCCCGTTTCCTGGGAATCGACGATTACTGTCTGTGACTTTTTTCCCCTCCTGACAATGGACAGCGCCTGCGTTCAGAGCCCCAGGGCCCCCACGAGCATGCATACATGCGTACACGAATACATCCATACATGCATACATACATGCATGCATGCATGCATATATATATATATATATATATATATATATATATATATGTATATATATATATATAGATATACAAATATACATATGCATGCATGCATACATACATACATACATTCATGCATACATGCATACATATACATACACACATACATACATACATACATACATACATACATACATACATACATGCATGCATGCATGCATACATACATGCATGCATAAATACATACATGCATACATACATACAGACATACATGCATACATACATACATAAATACGTACATACATACAGACAGACAGACAGACAGACATGCATGCATGCATACATGCATGCGTGCATACAGGCATGCATAGTTGCATACATACATACATGATCATGCATACAGACAGACATCCATACATGCAGGCATATCCACACACATACATGCATGCAGACATACATAGATGCATGAGTGCATGCATACATGCATCCATGCATCCATGCATGAATGCATACATACATGCATATATGCATACATGCATACATGCATGCATGCATACATACATGAATGCATACATGCATATATTGTCCAGGGCTTGGGCCCCCCCCCAATGCTAATGCCATCGCCCCCCCCCCCCTGCGCGATGCCCCCTCCCCCTGTGGGCGTGGCGTGGTGGCCCTCGCGTCTTCGCCCATCATCGTCGGCGTCTTCGCCATCGTCGTCGTCCGCTGCTTCCGGAGAGTGGCGGGGGGAGGAAGTGGGAGGGGGGAGCAAGGTAGGGAAGAGAAGGCCAGGGAACGAGGAGGGGGGAAGGGGAGGCGGACGGAGGGAGGAGAAGGAGGAGCATCGTCGTCGACGGTGTCTTCCCCGTTGTCGCCTCCCTCTGGGTGCGTCGTGGTGGCAGTGCTTCAGGGAGCCGAAGCGGGCGTCTTCGTCGTCGCCGCCGCCGCCGCCGCCGTCGTCGTCGTCGTCGTCGTCGTCGTCGTCGTCGTCCCCCCCCCATCCCATCTGGGGGGGGGGGGCCCGAGGAATCCTGGGACCAGGCCATCTGGGGGGGGGGGCCCGTGGGCCTGGAGCCCGGGATCATATATGTATACGTACGTACGTACGTACGTACATAAATACATACGTAAAAACATGCATGCATGCATGCATGCAAACAGATCATATGCATACATACATCCATGCATACACGTATACACACATGCATACATACATGCATGCACGTATGCATACCGACACACAGACAGACATACAGACATGCAGACAGACAGAGAGGCATACAGACACGCATGCATGCATGCATGCATACATACGCACATACGTACGTACGTACGTACGTACAGACGTAAGCACGTCCATACATACATACATGCATGCATGCATACACATACATGCAGACATACATGCATACACATACATGCAGACATACACACATACGTACACACACAACTCCATACGTACATACGTTGATACATACATACATGCAGACATGCATACATACATACATACACACAACCATACATAAATACATACATACATGCGTAAGTGCAGACATGCATGCATACATACATCCATACATACTTATACGACCACTCTTCGGGTGATAAGGAGGTTGTGGGGGGGAGAGGGGGGGAACCAACATCTGACTCAATCGATCTCACTATCGATCTCACTGCACTGGACACCACGGGACACCAAGGGACACTTGTCGATCTCAATATCGATTTCACTCAACGGGACACCATAGGTCACCACGGGACACCACGGGACACCTCAGGACAACACATCGATCTCAATAGCGATCCCACTATCGATCTCACTATCGATCTCACTCAGTGGGACACCACGGGACACCATAGGACACCTGTCGGTCTCACTATCGATCTCACTATCGATCTCACCTATTGGGTCACCACGGGGCACCACGGGACACCTCGGGGCACCACATCGATCTCAGTATCGATTTCACGATCGATCTCACCCAACGGAACGCCACGGGACACCACGGGACACCACAGGACACTTGTCGATCTCACTATCGATCTCTCTCAACGGGACACCACGGGACACCACGGGCCACCACGGGACACCACGGGACACTGCTAGGGCCACCGCCGGACGGAGGATAATCATGTGTCTCGACTTCGCCCTAGCAACGGCGGACACCACGGGACACCACGGGACACCACGGGACACCACGGGACACCGCGGAACACCGCTAGGGCCACCGCCAGACGGACGGAGAATAATAATTTGTCTTGACTTCGCCCTAGCAACGGCGGGTTTATTCTTCTTGCGCGCCCACGCAGCTTCGCCTCGCCCGCACGCACCACACGAACGAAACGAAACGATTTCCCGGTTGGGGGACTCCGTTCCACTGCGATCTCACCCCCCAACCTCCGACATACATTGATGCATGCATGCATACATGAATAAATACATGCATACATACATAGACACATACCTGCATGCATACCTATACGACCACCCTGCGGGTGACAAGGAGGTTGGAGAGGGAGGGGGCCAGCAATGGGCAACAGTGGTGATTGTTGCTCTGCCGATGCCAGTGGAGATTGTTGCGTTGCCGCCCGCTCTTGGGAGCCGTGGTGTCGAGTTGTTTACGTCACCCTTCGCTCTTGGGCGCCTTGGTATCAGTCCCCCCCCGGGAACGAATGAAAGAATAAATTATTTTGTTCATTTTGCAAGGGCTTGGGGGGCCGTTTGGGCGCGTCTTTTAGATCTCTTAGGGGGCTCTTGGGGGCCTCTTGGGGGGCTCTTGGGGGCCTCTTGGGAGCCATTTTGGGCTTCTTGGGGGCCTCTTGGGGACTCCCAGGAGTTTCTTGGAGCGACCCTTAAGAGCCTGTTCCGCCAACGTTCGCACTGGGTGCCCTGGTGTTCAGAGATTGTTGCGTTGCCGCTCGCTCTTGGCACAGCATACAGCACGGGATGTCGAAGTGCCTGACGACTTGCATTCGCTTTTGCTTACCGGTGTGCGTGTCGATTTGGTTTTCGATCTGCATGTCGATTTGCGTCTCACTATCGGTCTCACGATCGATCCCACGATCGATCTCACTATCGACATTATTATCTGTCACACTCGATCGATCTCACCATCGGTCTCACTCGATCGATTTCACTGTCGATCTCACTCTCGGTCTCGTTTTCGATCTCACTAGCGATCTCACTATCGATCTCACTCCATCGATCTTACTATCGATATCGCTATCAATACCACTCCATCGCTCTCACGATCGATCCCACAATCGATCTATTCATCAATCTCACTCGATCGATTTCACGACCGATATTACTCAATCGATCTCCCCATAGATCCCGCTATCGCTCTCACGATCAATCCCACAATCGATCTCACCATCGATCTCACTCGGCCGATATCACTATCGATGTCATTCTCGATGTCATTCTCGATGTCACAATCGATCTCACTATCGGTGTCAGTATCGTTTTCGCACCAGCGGGACACTGGGACACCAGCGGGACAACGGCGGAACACCGTCGGGACACCGCGCGGCCCCGTTTGCCGGTCGGGAAACATGTGGTCCGGCCGCGCCTCAGCCACAGGAGACTTACCGTGACACCAGCGGGACACCGGCGGGACACCGCGCGGCCCCGTTTGTCGGGGGGGGAATCATTTTGTCCCGCCGCGCCTCAGCCACAGGAGACTTTCCTCTCGCCCGCCCACGCAACTTCGCCTCGCCCGCACGCGCGGCACGCACGAACACGAAACAGAAACCGATTTCCCGGTGGGGGGCTCTCCGTTCCACTTTGATCTCACCCCCCAACTTTGATATACATGTCAAAATGCCGGCAAACATGCATATAATCATACACGTAAACCGACATGTAGGCATACAAACATACATACACATATACATACATATATACACATACATACATACATCGATACATACATACATCGATACATACAAAAATACAGGCACACGTACAAACATACATACACACATGCATACATACATACATGCTTGCATGCATGCATGCATACATGCACGCATGCACACAAGCATATGTTCACACATCTATCCGTATAAGTCGATACGTACACACATACATACATACATACATACGTACATACATACATACATACAAACAAGCAAACAAACAAACAAACCGACATGTATACATACATATATACATACATACATACCTACATACATACATACATACATACAAATCCATACATACATCCATACAAACATACATACACACATATATACATACGAAAGAGCGCGTTCTGTGGTCGCTTGGGGGGGGAAGCTGGACCCACCCACACCCCCTTGGATGGAGTTCAACCCCCCCCCCTCCCGTGATGGATGGGGGGGGATTTCACCCCTTCCTCCTGCTTCCCGCTTCCTCGGGCTGGCGCTGGCGTCGGCGGCGGCTGGCGACGGCGGCAGGGACGACGATTTCAGTTTCTGGGCCGGCGCTAGCCGGCGCCTGCGGCGGCCGGCGGCGGTGGCGGGGCGCGCCGACGAGGACGACGGTGGTGGTGGTGGTGGGTTGTGGTGGTGGTGGTGGTAGCGGTGATGGTGGTTGCGGTGGTGGTGGTGTGGTAGTTTGTTGTGGTGGTGGTGGTGGTGGTCGTGGCGGTGGGTTGTGGTGTCGGTGGTTTGGTGGTGGTGTGGTGGTGGTTTGTGGTGGTGGTGGTGGTGGATTGTGGTGGTGGTGGTGGTTTGGTGGTGATGTGGTAATGGTTTGTGGTGGTGGTGGTGGTGATGGTGGGTTGTGTCTGTGGCAGTGGTTTGTAGAAGTGGTGCTGGTGGTGGTCGTGGCGGTGGTGGTGGTGGTGTGGTGGTCTGCGGTGGTAGTGGGTTGTGCTGCTGGTAGTGGTGGTGCTTGTGGCGGTGGTGGTAGTGTGGTAGATTGTCGTGGTGGTGGTAGTGGTAGTGGGTTTTTGTGGTGGTGGTGGTGATGGTGACTTGTGGTGGTAGTGGTTGTGGTGGTGTGGTGGTGGTTTGTGGTGGTGGTGGGTTGTGGTGGTGGCGATGGTTTGTGGACGTTAGTTGTGGTGGTGGCGGTGGTGGTGGTGATGGTGTGGTGGTTTGTGGTGGTGGCGGTGGGTTGTGCTGCTGGTAGTGGTTGTGCCGGTGGTGGTGTTGGTGTGGTAGATTGTGGTGGTGGTTGTGATGGGTTTTTTTTGTGGTGGTGGTGATGGTGAGTTGTGATGGTGGTTGTGGTGGTGGTGGCTGTGGTGGTGGTGGTTGTGTGGTGCTGTTGGTGGTGGTGGTGGTGGGTTGAGGCGGTGGTGGTGGTGGTAGTGGTGGTGGTGGTGGTAGTGGTGGTAGTGGTGGTAATCGTCGCTGCATCCCCGCCGTCGCCGGCGCCAGCGCCGGCGCTGCTGGCCGGCGCCAGCGCCGGCGCCGGCGCGAGGGGTGGGTGGACCCCCCCCCCCCTTGAGCTGCCTCTGGTCATCGTCGCTGCGTCCCCGCCGTGGGCGCTGCTGGCGGCCGCCAGCGCCGGCGCCGGCGCCAGCGCCGAGGGGAGGCGGGGGGAGGGGTTTTGAACCCCCCCCACTGGGAAGGAAGGGGGGGGTGTTTTGAACACCCACCCCACTGGGAGGGGGGGGGGGGTTCGGGATGGGAGGGGTTTGGGGGGGAGGGGAGTCCCCCTGGTTTTGATCGACGGCGCCGCCGAGTGTTGGGGGGGGGGGGGGCTCACTCCCAGGTGAAACGCGCCGCCGAATGTTCCCAAGGCAAGCGCCCGTGAAACGCGTTCTCCCATACATACATGCATGCATGCATACATACATACATGTACATAGACAGACAGACAGACAGACAGACAGATATACATACATACAGACATACATACGATAGCTCTGTCACCCAGCCGGCCGATAGGGGGTCCATCTGGGCGGAGACCGCTGACATGTGGCCCTTTCCCCTTCTCATACTCCTGCTCCTCACCTCAGTCCAAGGCTGGGCAAACGGTGTGGCCGGTCAATGGTTCGGTCGGGACTCGGGTACCTGCGAAAGCCCTCTTCTGATGCGGGCGCTGCCTGCACAAAGAGATGCCCTCTGACGAGAGCCAAAGCAGCTGTATAGACTGGCCTTGCCTGCAGTGTCGCGTCCGCACCGTTTGCCCGCCTGTGGTAATTTGTCGCCCCGCGGCAGGGGCGCCTAACAGCCAGTTCCACACCACGGGGACGCCGGCCGTGGGGTCCGCACCCTGTCCTCGCGCGCCGCGCGCGCGACCGCCGCCTGCCGTCTCGGCCTCTCAGGCAAGGGGCCCACAGCTCCGTGAGCACACACGCACAGCAGAGGGACAAGAGCAGCGCGGGCGGGTGCTAGCCCAACCTCCGCCCAACGACTCGCTGATTCCACACCACCTTCGCGAATCCCCCCCCCCACCGCCCCCGCAGCCCTCAGAGTCTGCTGAGCGACGAGGCGTCAAGCGTCAAGCTTCTCCCAGCGCGGCTCCAGCACGCATCAAGACGAGCACATGGACGCACGTTTGAGCGCACCGTCGCCTTCGCAGGGCGGGAAGTGCCAGGACCATCCCAGATGTAGCCTTAGGTCGGGCCTGTCCCCCTACAGGGGGGGTTTTGGACGACAAATTAAGAACACTTACAAAATACTCAAAACATGCCCCAAAAATACTCAAAACGTAGTCCCCAGGCTATTGTTGTACTATTTCTGAATATTCCGCCTGTAGAGGGACAGGCCCGACTGGAATGTAGCCCCTTGCACGCATCAGACGAAGGACGCGCAGCTGCGCGCACCTCGGGCGCGACACAGCGCGGCCGCTGGCCCGCGCTCCCCGCGCGCCGTCCCCGAACCCGCCGCCAGCCAGGAGCCGGGAGGCTTCAAGCCTGGGGCGCGGGGCCCCGTCCTCGTGGCCGCCGCGCCGGACGCATGGGCCAGGGCGGGCCGGGCGCCTCCCCCGAGACCTCCCCACGCGAGCTGAGCCTGGGGCTCGAGACCTCCCCCGAGACGGCGTGTCATAGCGTGTCGCGCCGAGGCGCGGTGGAGGCCAGAACAGCGGCACGCTGCAGTGGAGGCCAGTCCACAAGAAACCTGCCACAAGAAACCCAACCCTGAGACCCCAGGGCGTCCACCGATTCTTGGTGTGGGAGCGTCACGCTCCCCGTCGCAAAACCATCGAAACCCAGGAAGCCCAGGGCACCCTGGAGGCAAGCAGGGTGTTTCTTGGCAGGGGCCTCCACTGCGAGCCAAAGTCCCTGAGTGCATCCGAAGCCACCACCCCTCCAGACCCCCAGGCACGGCTCCGCGCCGGCCGCGGGAGAGCGCGGCGAGGCAGGAGGAAAGGCAGAGGCTGGCGCGACGGACGCACATCCCAAAGGGAAACGGCCCTGCACCCCAGGGCCCCCCCCCCCACTTGCCCCACGTGGACCACCTCCTCCTGCCTCTCCTCCTCCTCCTCCTCCTCCTCCTCCTCCTCCTCCTCCTCCTCCTCCTCCTCCTCCTCCTCCTGCCCCTCCTGTCCCTCTTGCCCCTCCCCCTCCTCCCCCTCCCCCTCCTCCTCCTCCTCCTCCTCCTCCTCCTCTCCTCCTCCTTCTCCTTATCCTCCTCCTCCTCAGGACAAGGAGGAATCAACTCCTGCCACCCATCTGCCGCTCTCCTCCCGGCCAACCCCTCTTGGGAAACCAAACGGCACCGATACGGCTACTCCCCGGACCTCTCCCGAGGTGCGTGCTGACCAGGAGTTCAAGGCGAGCTCAACGGTGGCGACGAGGGCCCTCCGGGAGGCCCCCAAAAGTGGAAGACGGGCGAAGGGTAGCGGCATGAATACCTCTTCCTCCTCTGAAGATCTTCATCCCTCTGAGACAGGTCTGTGGGGAAAAAAAGGTGTTTGTTGTGTTTTATTTTGTGTTTTGCATTTTTGTTGTGTTTTTGTTTGTGCCTGCGGAGGGCCCAGGAGAGCCCGAGGACGGCGCAGAGCCGCCAGGACCCGCCTCCCTCGCGGGTCCACTCTCCCCTGGCCTTCGGCCCAAAACCCGGGCCTCCAGCGGTCGTTCGCGACGTTCCGGGCACACGGCCACGACGACCACGACCACGACCACGACGACCACGACCACACCACGACCACGACGACGACGACGACGACCACGACCACGACCACGACGACGGCGACCCGCTTCCCTTGGGCTCGCCTGCACTTCGGCGGCCGGCCCAAGAGGGCACTGAGAGGGGGCGGGCCTTCTCGAAAGGCTCGGAAGTCCCCCCGGCCTTCTGAGGAGTCTTCGGAGCCCTCCCCGAAGACGCAGGAAACCTCTCGGAAGGCGAGAGGGCTTTCTCAGAAGCCCCGCCGCCTTCTGAGAAGGCCTTTTCCTTCTCACTTCTCCCCCTCGCTCGCCGCCGGTCCTGGCTCGGCGGGAGGCGGGGGTGGGGCTCGGGCTTCGCCACGTGCTCGACGGATTCCAGGCCCTAACCCCCGCCGCCCATCGGCCATCGAGTTTTGCCTGAATCGCTGATCGGCGAGGGTCGCCTCGAATTCCGCTCCACATGTGCCTCGAGACCCTCGCCATCGCTCGGCATCCATTTCCCGTGCATTTTTCGGTTTCGTGCGTGTTTTTTTCGCACGATGGTCCAGGATGGTCCTGGATGGTCCTCGCCGAGGAAAAAATGCACACGTCCGAGCGATGCCAGGGACCCCTGCCGGGGCTCGAACGCAGCAGCTTGTTCAAGCTGCGCCCCCGCCGCGGCCACGAGGAAGGCCCCCGAAGGCCGCGCCGGCTTCGCACCTGGACCCTCGAGGCTCGAACCTCGAGACGCCGCCCGTCCAACTGCCGATTCCTGGCCATCGCTCGGACGTCCATTTCCCGTGCATTTTTCGGTTTCGTGCGTAACCCCAAACCCTAAACCCTGGGGTTTGGGTTTAGGGTTTAGGGTTTAGGGTCTACTAGGCGTGGCCACGAGTACACCTGGACCGCGAACCCACCTGCGGTGGCCGTCACTCCCACCCGCACGCCACCCCACCATAAAGATCATCTCTCCCCTCGGTAGAACCACAGCGAGGGCAACGTCGACGACGACGACGACGACGACGACGGCGACGACGGATGTGCGATCCAGGTGGCACGCGAGTGCTCTAACGGGCATACGATTCTGCACGCATGCGCAGGAAACGCGAGGTTGTCCAGGATATGGAGGCGGTGTACATAAGGGGGTCGCATTTTGTGTTGTATAATACATGAGATTCTGCACGCATGCTCAGGATGGAGCGCGCTCAGGATCAGGAAATGATGATTTTGCTTATAGATGGAGCGGGTTTACATAACGGGGTTGCAACGGGTGCTGGGCACTTTGTGCTGTAAAAAAAAAAGAAATTCTGCACGCATGCGCAGGGAGTGCTAGTTTTTTACAATAGATGGAGCGGGCTCGCAACGGGGGCTGGGCACTTTGTAATGTAAAATACATGAGATTCTGCGCGCATGCTCAGGAAATGCTATCTTACGCAATAGATGGAGCCGGTTTGCATACGGACCGCTTTGAGGTTGTTCAGGGTTTAATAATTATAGGATTAGAAATTTAGGGTTTAGGGTATACTAGGCGTGGCCACGAATACACCGTGACCGCGAGCCCACCTGCGGTGGCCGTCACTCCCACCCGCACGCCACCCCGCCATAAAGATCATCTCTCCCCTCGCTATAACCACATCGAATACAGCGTCGACGACGACGACGACGGCGACGAGTGATGTGCGAGCCAATTGGCACGCGAGTGCTCTTCGTGAGAACCGCATCGAATACAGCGTCGACGACGATGACGACGACGACGGCGACGATGGATGTGCGATCCAGTTGGCACGCGAGTGCTGTAACGTGCGGGACGAGTCGGGTCGGGCGGAAGAGGTTTTGCACGCATGCGCGGGAAACGCTAGTCAGTGGAATCGGTGGATCGGGTCGCAAAAGAAGGCACTTTGTATTGTAAAATACATGAGATTCTGCACGCGTGCGCAGGAAGTGCTATTTTTGGCCGTAGATGGAGCGGGTTTACATAAGAGGGGCGCACTTTGTGCTGTAAAAATTAAAGATTCTGCACGCGTGCGCAGGAAATGCTATTTCTTGCTGTACATGGGGCCGGGTCGCGTCGGGGACTGGGCACTCTGTGCTGTAACAAAAAAGATTATGCACGCATGTGCCGGAAATGCTATTTTTTGCATGGGATGGAGGCGGAACGAGACGGGGGCTGGGAACTGTGTGCTGTAAAAAATGCGAGATTCTGCACGCATACTCAGGAAATGTTTTTTTTGCAGTAGATGGAGCGGGGTTGCAAAACGACCGCTTTTAGGTTATTCAGGGCTTACTAATTATAGGATTAGAAATTTAAGGTCTACTAGGCGTGGCCACGAGCACACCTCGACCGCGAACCCACCTGCGGTGGCCGTCACTCCCACCCGCACGCCACCCCACCATAAAGATCATCTGTCCCCTCGCTATAACCACATCGAATACAGCGTCGGCGACGACGACGCCGACGACGGCGACGAGCGATGTGCGGTCCAGTTGGCACGCGAGTGCTCGCACGGGCGGGAAGAGTCGGGTCGGGCGGGAGAGATTCTGCACGCATGCGCAGCGAATGCTATTTTGTGGCGTGAGTGGATCGGCGAGCAACGGGAGGCACTTTGCATTGTAAAATATAAGAGATGCTGCACGCATGCGCAGGAAGTGATATTTTTTTTTACCGTAGGTAAATCGGGTTTACATAAAAGGGGCGCACTTTCTGATGTAAAACTATGAAATTATGCATGCATGTTCAGGAAATACTATTTTTTGCCGTAGATGGAGGGGGGTCGCGACGGGGACGGGGCACTTTGTGTTGTAAAAAATGTGAAATTCTGCACGCATGCTCAGAAAATGCTATGGTTTGCCATAGATGGAGGCGGATTGCATGCGGGCTGCTCTCGCAGTAATCCCACCAACCCTTTGGGCGTGAGTGGTTTAGGGAGCTCTCTCTGTCCTCAACCCCCCTTCTTCCCCTTCGGGGAGGGGTTTACCCCTCCCCCTACCCCCTCCCCCTGGGCCTGGAGAGGGCGGGCCACGGGTCGTCAGGGGAGTCTTGTTCGACTCGTGGGAGGGCCAAAAAACGACGACCCTCACTAGGATTCTGGCCCCGAGGGGGGGAGGGAGTTTGGCGCCTGAACTCGTCGTCGAAGTAAAAAACATTGATTTTACGACGGTGTTGGCCCCATTTTGGCCTTCGGAGGGGGC